TATTTTTAGTAGAGACGGGGTTTCACCATGTTGATCAGGATGGTCTCGATCTCTTGACCTTGTGATCCACCCGCCTCAGCCTCCCAAAGTGCTGGAATTACAGGCTTGAGCCACTGCGCCCGGCCTGTCTTTTCTTTAAGAGTCTGCTCTTGGTGCTCCAGCTTGTGCCAGGGTCAAACTTCCCAGACTTGTAAACAGCAGAAGGAAGGACAGGGACAATGGGTAGAAATTAGAGAAAAGTGTATTTTAGGTCACCACAAGAAAAAAACTGGCCAGGCATGGTGGCTCATGCCTGTAATCCTAAAACCTTGGGAGGCTGAAGCAGGAGGATCATGAGGTCAGGAGATCAAGACCATCCTGGCTAACATGGTGAAACCCCATCTCTACTAAAATTACAAAAAATTCCAGGTGTGGTGGCACATGCCTGTAGTCCCAGCTACTCAGGAGGCTGAGGCAGAAGAATTGCTTGAATCCAGGAGGCGGAGTGCAGTGAGCTGAGATCGCACCACTGCACTCCACCCTGGGTAAGAGCGTGAGACTCCACTTCAAAAAAAAAAAAAAAAAAATTAATAGTCTTACCAGATTACCAAAAATATTCAAATACGAACTGCATGACCATGTGTTAGGGGAACAGTAAAATAAAGTCCTACGTTCAGAAAAAGGTCCATATACACCTTTATATCTGTGGCCAGTGGCTCCTTTCCTTCAGTCCCATGCGAAAGGATTTGTCAGATTTTCCCCATGAATTTTAGAGGATTTGTCTATATTATGAAGACCTTATAACCTCAAGGAGATACAAGTTACTGAATTCAAGTTAAAAAATAGTTAATGTGATCACCGTAGGTTACAATAAACTGGATCCTATTTTAAAAAGTACCGTTTTAGAATCAATCATATACAGTGATGGACCTCAGCTCTAATTCCAATAAGCAGTACAACTTTTGGCAAATTTATTTACCTTCCCAGAGAAAAAAATCTGTTGAATAAGTATAAAATATTTACCTTGCTGAACATGCACACACACACATTTAGTACATACATACAGCATATATATGCTGTGTGTGTAGTATACATATGAGAGACATATATTCACATAGGTAATTTTTAATATGTCTTAAACTATGTTTTGTTTCTCTTCAATATGCATCTGGTAGTAGATGCAGTTGGTAGCAATAGCTAAGTAAGTGTCTTTGCATTCATATAACTTATTTTACTGGTACTCTGCTAAATACCTCATTGCATTGCTGCTTTTATTTGTCACAACATTATGAGGGGAAGAACTATATAGATTAGAAAAGCAAGGTTTAGAGCACTTAAGATATTCTCCTAATGTGGCTAGTAAGAAGCACAGTTGGTGTGGCCTTTGGGCAGTTGTGATATCAGATCTAGATTTTTAATTTCTAAGTGATGCTGTCAAACCAGTGCTACCCCAGATGGAATCACACTGTCATTTTCCTATCACTGATAATACCTGAGAAAATTTAGTCTCAATACGTTGATGCTGTGAGTGATGCTGTATAGCTTACTTTTCCTATTCCACAAGTATTGTGTTATCTCAAAGTGTGCAATCCAGAGAGCTGGACATTGTTCAATTAATGACAATTAGAGCTGCTCATATTTGAGTTATACAGATCTAAGCAGATGAAATGCATTTTTAAAATGCCGGCAGTGTTTGTGGGTGAGTTGTCCAAAGTGCAATTAACACTTGTTATATCTTTCTATAATAAGGGTGTACATATTTCTACTATGTTTGAGCAGTGACTCACTTCTCTAGTGAATTCTTTTATGAGGAAAATAATTATTTGCTCATTCTTATTTGGGACAAGTCTTGATTTTTATGTATCTGATTTGATTGCCCTATATCTGTAGTTATCTGCAGAATTGTACTACGGCTGCCGTAATTTACCTCCTCAACACTAATGGCTTATGTGGACATTTGTGAATTAAAAAACAAACCAGTGAACACTAAATTTGTAAGGCAAGCTTCTGATTCCCCATCATCTCTGTTAATTAATCCTCACCTTTAACTTTGGAATGTAGTACAGATAAGTCATTTGAGCACCTTCTATCACAAGATCATTGTGGATGAAATTCCATTCAATACATGAGTAATGCACAGAGATTGGAGAAGACACTGCATTGGCGGTTTCAATCAGAGGCTAAAGGCACTGATTTCTTTTACATGTGAACTGATTTTGGTAAAGTGCTTAGCTTCCTTGGGCCTCAGTATTATCATTGGGAAGTGGCAGTAAAATGATTGTTTTTCATCCTTCACAGAGTTTATCAGAATCAAATAAAAAATGATATGTGAAGGCATTTTATTAAGCACAAAGTGCTTCAAAAATTTGAGTTTTCATAATAATTTAAATTAATGGTGTGGTATCTTCAAAATTTCTTTCAGGCAAGGTTGCAGGATACACATTATTGGCTGAAGTTCTGTTAATATTTTTTTTTGGAAGCATCACAGCAAAGATGAGTCATTGAGAGAACTATTATTACTATAACATTCATAGTAAGTAGTAATAGCAACTACAGTACACACAACAAATGTTCATACTTTGGGGGCTTAGAGAAAATCAGGACATGGATCTTTAACATGAAGCTGCCCATCAGCAACATTTGCTGCATGTCTCTCCTTCCTCTCTTCTTACATATGAGCCTTATTTTCCTACAGGTGTTTCTGGGTTTTTATTGCTCATGATCTGGGATGGCTTTCTATCCAAGGATACTGGCTTTGATATGATGGTCCTGCTTTGTAATTTTTATTCAACTTTTCTGCCTTTAAAATATCATGTGCTATCATCTCATAAGCATTTAACTAGTAACCTGATAAATGTCCAAACATATAACAAATTCCTATTATTAAGCTGAATTGAATAAGGTATTAATAGGATATCTTGACTTTGATGTCATCATAACCTAATGACATTCTATTTGGTTAGAAACTTGTAAACCTTCCTCCAGAAGTAAGAAATAAAATGATCACAATTATGGCTAGAAGACTTTTGACCTCTAATCTTTAATTAATTTTTAACCCATATGACTTAAAGTTTGGGTTAAAAATTAATTCACTGCCAGCATTTTAAAATATGAGGATATGTTACAAAGTCCCAGCTTTCTGACTTCTCTTGGAATATCAGCACATGTAGCAAGATTGGGTCCTCCCTAGCACCAGTAGCAGCCACTGAGGAGCAGCTGGTTCCTTTGGAAGGGTAAGCTGTGCTCAGTGCACTAGGGTCCCCACCTGTTCCACTTCATTTATGTATGTCATATGCCTGGACCCTGTAGGATCTGAGTTTATGGCCTTTGTTGAACCCACAGAAATAACCTAATTAAATCCTATCTCATAACCAGTTAGTCATGAGTGAAATCATGAACAGATGGTTTAAGGTGAACATATGTTGTTGATCTGTTTCTCTTATTTCATTAACCATTTTGCCAGCATTTAAAACAGCCTAATCATATGCCACAAACCATAACTGGAGCAGCAGTTTATAGGGTGATAATCTAGAGTATCTTCGAACTGTTTATTTTTAAATTCCAAGTGAAAGCTGCTTTGAGGTTTGATCTGCAGTTCAAGGTAGAATTTTATCCTCACAGTAAATGCGAGTTCTAGGCATGCTCCAAATTCTGTGCCTCATATGTTTCTGTGATGTCAGAGTATTAGGAGGGACATCTGTGGTAGGATATTTACCACATATATTTATGAAGAATAAAAGACCTCCCGTGAAATGTCACCATGAGTGATAGGTTAGAGGCAAGGAGAAGGAGACCTGGAGATGATGCTGGTAGCACTTTGAAGCTTCCAGAATTTTCTTAAGGCTTCACAAACTCCTTCCTTCATTCCCCATGCCTAAGGCGAATAAAACTCATGCACGTAAACCTAAGATAAATCAAAATGAAGTTATATTAATAGCAGAGGGCAATTTAGTAAGAGAACTATAAATAATACTGTTGTGAACAATTCCCCCATTTTTTCAATTTGATTTTAAGAGTTCCATTTTTCTTTAATCAGTTGTGAATATGGAGGGACCTGAAATTACGGTGAAGGCCTACACTAAGGGCTCCAAAGCACATACTTGGTTTATGTTACTGAAGTCTGTAGATCAGAAGCACAAAAAGAGTATTCATCATTCCCATGGTCTGAAACAAGACACAGGCTAGAAGTTGCACATATAAAAGTTTGGGGTTAAAGCATTTCTAAGTCTGTGCCAACATGGAGAACTTTCAAGTATGGCCATGGCCATAGGGCGTGACTGGTAAAAGATCTGGGCATCCTGGATTCAAAGATCTTATCATTACTCACAGAAAGCCCTTCTACAATCCTGGCTTTGGGCCAGGCAAGTTAGCCTGGCCATCAACAACCTTCTTAATCATCACCAACAAACTGGACAATCATCTACTGGGCTAGACACAGAGTTATCTAGGGAGAGATGGTAGAGCAAATACCAAGAGCACAACTCATTTGACATGTAAACAACCAACCATGTCCTGTAAAATTAGGAATTAAAATGCTCTCTTAAGACCCATGTAACCTAGTGAGCCACAGAGTCAATAACATATCATGTGTGAAAATATGAAAATCATCACAAAAGAGCATGATGATGGAGGTTCCATACCTCAGTTTAGCATTTCCTAGTTGTGCTGAGTCAGATCAAATGTAGTATAATTAGGGAAAAAAAGGACGGATAAAAATAAGTGTAATCATGATCACAGGAAAATAGCAAATATATAGCATAAGGGAAGTTACTTTTTCTTCTTGATGAACTCACAGACAAAGTACATGGTAAGATGGCACTCTGTGTCATTCCATCTGCCAGAGCTGAGCATCTCCACACAGTCCTCATGACCAGAGGGGTCACTGGGCTCCCCTTCATTCCAGTTGCTATAGTTCTGCAGTGGAGTGTTGTCTGCGAACACGTACTGTCCCTCCCTTTCAAGGTCATTCACGCCAATGAACACCCGAAAGAAGCCACTCTTGGCAACATAGTCAGCGATGAGTGTGTTGGCAGCTTCATCCTTGGGCATGGCTAGCATTCCACCCCGAATCCTGCAGTGGGTTAGGGATTCCCTATAGTTCTTCTCTTCCTGCACGATGTAGTAGAATTTCTCTTCAGTTTCCCTAATCCCTGCTATGACTGCAGGGAGGGAAAAAAAGAGTATCATTATGTATCTCAAAAAGACAAAGGGCAATAAAATTATAATATTGCCAGATTCGCATTTATTTATTCAATGTTCAAGAATTATTTTTCAAAGCACTATTATGAGGTAGTCACTGGTTTAATCGTCCCTACCTTCAGTTATCAAATAGAGAACAAATATCTGCCATTTGTTCTCCCTTCCTTTTCTCCTCAACTTCTCATACAGCTGTCCAGCACAAAGTTGACAAAGATGTGCTACGTGAACTTTCAGCCAGCCCAGGTCATACTATATTTCCCAACACAGTTTATGTTTAAGCTACACTTGTGGCCACACGTGCTTGCCCTTCTCTCTTCCAGGCCTAGAAAGTCTTTTCTACCTGGCAAGCTTCTACTCATCCCTTAGATCTCAGTGGAAATGTTTTCCCCTATAAGAAGTCTTTCCAATGCCCTTGGATAGACATGGCAGTCGCCCTTCCCTGTGTTTCCATTGACCCTTTCACTTCCTCCTTCTAGCACTCAACATGTTTTAGTCTCATTGTTTGCCTGCATTTCTCTCCTACTCAACTGTGAATGTCTTCAGGAGAATGACCATGTCTCTGACACTCTTTAGCCTCCATGCATGGAATGCTTATGGGAATGGTAAATGCTTATTGAAATGATGTAGGGATAATACGTGTTTATCCACATTGAATTGAATTCCTGGGCTGTGAACATGTACATGAATTGAATTTCATCCCAGGTACAAGAAGAAGACTGAGCTATTGAGTTAGCTTCAGAACAGAAGTAGAGACTGAGAATCACCCTTCAATCATAATATGGCATGTATGTTTTGGGTGTCAGGGGCCTCTACATATGCATTTTAGGATCCATAGATTTAATTCACGAAGAAATATATGACCACTAAAATGTTCAGAACTATTGTTCTATGTTCTCCCTGTATGGTCTGGCTTATTCATGACAGTCTAAGTCATATCAGAGACAGAATCTTTAGTACCAATTACAACTAGAGTTATAATTAGTATAGTTAGTTAATATCAAGTATTTCCTTTGCCTCTAGTGTTACAAGACAGCATCTACATAATTCCAACAATGTACAACAAATACAGCTGAGTTACAATAAATAAAAGTATAAGAAAAAGGAACCGATTGTAACTAATTATAATAGTTACCTTATTGTTACTGTCTCAGAAGAAAATATATAAACCCTTTCCACTTCAAGGGCTTTTCTGATAACTATTTTGAAAAAATGGACAAGGGATAACAAAAATGACCAGTACTGGATGTTGAAACACAGAGAAACACACAATGTTTGTATTGTGGGTAGAGGAGTCAGAGATGCCTCTAATATATTCCTCCTCTACTGCTCATTAGGTCTGTATCTATGGGCAAGGTACTTCCTCTAAGTTTTAGTTCAATCATGGTATCTACCTTATAAAAACTGTGAAAACTCAGTGAAATAATGCTAGTAGTTGTGTACTATTCCATGTACTCAAGAAAGCAGCTATTGTTCTTATTGCCTCTATATTGATATGCTAGTTCTGTCTGTCTGTCTATTATTATTCTTACAGCATAGCTTGCCACACTCTGCTCTTTTCTCCATTCCCCTCACCTAAGAAAGTCTATTTCTCTTCCCATAAGCAATGCACATACATACAAATATATGTAGTGGACTTGAAGTGTCCTGGAATCTTAGTGGGTAATTAGCAATTTGGGATATCTTTAAACAGGTGACACTATCTCAATAGCCCTTTGCCCAACCCAAGATATTTCCTGCTAAGAGTATTGGAATTATAGTGCTGATAGGGATTTATCAATAGATACATAACACAAAGCAAAAGAGAACATGTTCACCATTCTTGACAAACTTCATAGATGTCTTGAGCCGAGCGATACTAATATCCAGTTGTCCAACAAATGTCCGGTATCTTCCACAATCACAGACAGTACCTTTTAAATGATGAAAACTGTAAACTCGTTGAAGTACATGCAGACCAGTGTAAAGGAACATTTGCTCTCCTTCCAATACTCACTATCTTTTTCCAGTCTGGTTCTATATATCTGTGAATGGCTATACTTTAAACCGTTTATTTAAAATAGGGTTTCCAATTTCCATTATTTATAGAATTTCAGAAAATATCTTTGTAAATGTTTTGAATGAGCTATAAGATAGTTCTAAACCAGATTTTTAAAAGACGAATACATATGACAAACCACTGCATGCACATTTTGGACCATTTGGCATCTTCGTTGAACACAGAATGTGTCTGCCCAATCTCAGAATAAAATTTTTACAGCTTCCTTAAAATGTATTTCCTGCCAGTGCTCTCTTGTGTTATTGCATTATTCACTAGATCACACAGGTTTACCAAGACAGAAGAAACTTTTCACAATTACATCAAATGTTAATTCTAATTACCTATTTAAAATATAGCTGCAAGGACAAAGTTTAAATCATATAAATAGATCCAACTGACATTTTTAAAAGCTAGTTGCCTAGTATGTAGATTAACTATGGTTTCATTTTATTATTTTTTGATTTTTGAGATGGAGTCTTGCTCTGTCACCCAGGCTGGAGTGCAGTGGCACAATCTCAGCTCACTGTAATCTCTGCCTCCCGGGTTCAAGCAATTCTCCTGCCTCAGCTTCCTGAGTACCTGAGACTATAGGTACCCATCACCACATGCAGCTAATTGTTGTATTTTTAGTAGAGGCAGGATTTCACCCTATTGGCCAGGTGATTAACTATGATTTTAATGTGTCTTTTATTCTTCTTTGCAAACCCACCTTTTCAATAACCTGCAAATATTGCTGTGACACAGAGGGAATTACAAGGAAACACGTGTAAAATTCAAACGATTCCTTTTTTCCATTTAAGAGCTGTTATACATAAACATTTCAATTTTTTTCTTTGGTTGCTTGAAAAGTAAAAATAATTTTATTAGCCAAAGGAAAATGTCTATGGCCTTATTTATCCATATTCGTATGAAATATAAAGAATGTCAAACAGTTCTTAGAATTGTCTTCACCATAGCCCTGTGGATAGAAACAATTGAAATTACCAAAGAGCAATCTATTTTCTTTCCCTGCGTAAAGCACTGGGAATAAAGCTCCAGGAGAATACCCCCAGATAATAAAAACATATTCTGTAACCAGGGGCCTGTATCAGATGAGGTTGCTGCTGCACTGTGATGGCCAGTTTTGGTCGAGATACGAGTGAAAGGCAAGGCATGGCATGCTTATGCAAGGCCTACTGCCAGAGTTTCCTCTTGGCCCAGAAGAATTAGGCTACTTCCTGATACACTGGGCTTCATTCTCATAGGAAGCATGGCAGAGATGAAAGTGCCACCATCCCCTTCCCCAGGGCTTGGAAAGTCCCTAGCAGGGAGAGAGGAAAGTCCCCTTCTTCCTTTTCTTCTAGTCCAAGCTAAATAAGGTTAAGCATCCTAAAAGGACTCTTGCTTTTCATTTAAAATATATTTATTTTTGAGATGAATAAATTTGGAATGATGTTAGAAATCAAAGAACATTGAGCATATCATACCTGCTTTGCCTTTTTTCCCATGTTTTCCAAGCAAACCTTTTTCTCCTTTGTCACCTGAATAAAAACAATAGCAACCAAAATAAAATAAAATTAAAATAAAGGAAGGAAGGAAGGGAGGGAGGTGGGAAGGGAGGGAGGGAGGTGGGAAGGGAGGGAGGGAGAGAGGGAGGGAGGAAGGGAAGAGAGAAAGGAGGGAGGGAGGAAACAAGGGAGAGAGGAAAGGAGAGAGGGAGGCAGGCAGGCAGGGAGGGAGGGAGGGAGGAAAGAAGAAAGGAAAGAAGAAGAAAGGAAGGAAGGAAGGAAAAAGGGAGGGAGGGAGGGAAGGAGGAAGGAAGGAAGGGGTGAATTATTTCACATCTAGAGTCAAAGCAGTTTTAAATTTTATTTGCCATATCTATAACTAATATCTCTAATATCTCTTGGTTTTTATAAATAATAAAAATTTCAATTGGCTGCACAGGCACAACTAATTAAATGAGTCATAATTTATTTAGATTGAAAGCAGAATTCCAGCAGAGTTTGCAAGGAGCATTTGAATTTGTGTAACCTAACCTACTAACATTTTAAAAAAATAATGTGGCCTGAACAAGGCTAATACAATTCTCAGCATGTTTTCAATTTTAAAAATACCATTGTTTTGTGAATCTTGATCAATTTGATAGCACACTGCCGTGTTTTTGTATTTATTATGCCCCAAGTTACTCCAAGTGACTTTGCCCTTGAATTTATAAAAGAATACATGTATGGTGCTTTTTCAATTTAATTAGACAAATATTTACTATTTACTACTCTATGAAAGACGAAAGGCTGGGTACTTTGAAAGGATACACAGAGACACAGATTCAATCTATGACTTCAAGGAGTTTACAAGTTTTAGAAGTGAAGTGATGTATGCAAATACTAATAATATAAAGTCATGTCAAATATATTATACTGAAATAATAATCTTGGTAGTTTCCCTCTCTGCACTTCTTTATATGTAACCATTTTCTCACTCACAGGCATCCACAAAATAATTCTGAGAAGCAGGATTTTTAAAGCAGAGAGAAAGAATAAAACATGTTAACTTTTTTTTTCAACTTCAGAATAAGCTCTTGAAGCCCACATCAGATACAATAATTGAAAGCAAAAGCTTTTGATTTTCAGGAAGAAATGTTTGGCTGAGGTTCTTCAGAATCAAAAGGGAAGACCCAGACAGAAGTAAAATAGAGTATATGCTTCAATGGTGGTCTGGAAAAAAGAATAAGAAAGAACTCATGAAGGATGGATACAGGATGAAGGTTACCTAGGCTAGGTGTATGAGGCTTACCCTCACAGGACCGTGGTGTGGTCAGGGAATTGGTTATATGGCCAAAGGGGACAATGCAAAAGGGACTGGAGTTGGCATTAAGGTTCTGCCAAGACTCATCCTTCATCAGCAACAGAGAAAAAGCAAAAGCCACTCTAAAATCTACAGGGGGTCCCATGTTGCGTGCACTGGGGACACCCATTGGCTTTTCTCATCATTGTCTGATGTGTACTTTTCTTTAAAATTCCCTTACATAGTTACTTTTGATAATTCAGAAGAAGGCATGCCCGCTGGGCTTCCAAGGATTTGCTGAGCCTTTCTAAACTGAGCCATGTGGACACTTTTCTTTAGGGTTGATGCCAGACATTCATGTGCTACCCAAACAAAAGTTGGGGGTCCTAGAAGACCAGAATACAGTTTACATGTGCAGGAGGAAGGACTGGAACTTGTGCTTGGATGAAAGGAGACAATGGTGAAATCTATGATAATAGAACCTGATACATATTGTGAGAGAGACAGAGACATCGAACAGAGAGGTAACATATTCCGAGAGGAAGGCAAAAGAGATGGTGCTTCAAGTGGAATGGTAAAGGAAGACTTAGCATTTGAGCCTGGCTATGAAAATCTTCAGCAACTGAATGAAGGTGAGTGCAAGGTCAGGCTCAAGGCACAGCAGAGAATATAACTGGGAAAAAGACATGAATATGGGCCGAGCACCCTGCTCAGTAATATCAATCTGCTCACCTCTTAGTTACCACATGCAAATTCCTTATTTCTCTTATACATAAGTTGGAAAAATAAGAATAGAGTTTAAGAATACAGTAATGGAAGAAAGGGAACATATATTTTACTAAGTACCAATCAATCACCAAGTATTATTCTGGATACCTTACATATACTATCACATTAAATCATATGAACTAAGTGTTATCATTATCTTTATTTTACAACTTGAAGAAGTTGAGGATCAGAGAGGCAAAATAACTTTCTCAAGGACATCTAGCCATTAAATGGCAGTGCTGGTGTTCCAACCCAGCCCCTTCTGACTCCCCTTTCATGGTGCTTCTGAATGAGTTAACCAATGGTTTAATGAAGAAAAGCAAGGTGTTTGAAAAATATTATCAAAAGTTGCAAAGAATAGCAGTCCTCATCACCCTTAAAAACATTATGCACTTAAAAGATGGTATGACTATGGGTTTAATGTTTTGATTTTTAAAAATATTATATTTTCTTTGCATAGGAATCTCTTAATTCAACGTAGATGGAACATTGATTCCAATTATGCTACAAACCAAGTTCTGGGATAAGCTTTATAAGAGACATAAAAGAAGTATAAATAGAGTGCTTTGGGAAAATGATGGTCTTTTAAGGAAAGCAAAACACACACAAGAGAACAAAGAGATGAGACACTACCATGTACTAACAGAGTGAAGTAAATGAAAAGCCTGGTAGGAATTCAGAAAAAGAAAAATGATGGTGTGGATCAGGGTAGAGAAGGCTTCACTGAAGCAGTAGGCCTTAGTTAGAACTTAGTAATATAGGAAACAATTTCTTGAATTGGCATGTGGCCTTTTTTTCTGAGAAGATGTAAACTCTGTAACTATTCTCCAGTATTTTGACATGAATACTTTTCATTTCATAACAAATGGGAACAGCAAAGCAGTGTGGTGCAATAAAAGATCATGAAAGCTCCCCCAAAACCAGGGTTTGAATCCTGGGTTTGCCACTTACTGACAACACATGGAGAGGTTAATGAATTTCTCCAAGCCTCCTTTTCTTTATTTTAAAAGTAGAAATAATTAGTACCTAAAATTATGAGATCATTAAGGAGAATATAATTAGGTATAGTAATATTTTCTTATGATGGGATTAGCATTTGGCTTGACTCACAGAGAATGCTCAACCAATGTTAGCTTCTGTGTTCTGAATCTGAGTTATGGTAAAGGAATGCATGCCAAGCACTTAGCTGGCTTATGGAGGATTTGAGCCTAGAATATCTATTTCCCCAAAACTAATTACGATTTAAAGTCATCCGCAAAAACTGATTTTGGCCCACGAGTGGGAACGTGTCTATAATGACTGTCTGAAAGTTAAAGAATTAGAGGTCACATTCAAACAAATAAACAAAAAAATTATAATGCTTTCAGTGTAAATGGATTATTGACCTTAAATAAAAACATTTTTTTGCTATGAGATGGAATTTACCTATACTAAATCATTATTATTTCTTACTTCTAAAATGAAATATTGACATCCAGAAAGCTACCCTATCCATGCAAGTGACAACATTAAGGTCAGCCTATAAAGTTGAGGTTAATCTGAGTCAGTAAAAAATTTAGAAAGGCAATCCCCAAAATGAGGACAATAAATTTCGAAGTACAGATTAAAAATGAAATTAATCCAAGTGAGCTGGAACATTGTATCTCCATGTTTTAAAAAATTCCAGGACATGCACATAAATCTGATGGCATATCTCTGGAGGAGAAGAAAATCTTGGTAGCCAATGGAAGAAAATGATATTAAGGAAAAGTGGTATTTATAGGAATAAGGAGCAGTAAAGAGAGACATATTATAGGAAATAATGTTTTATTATGCAGTTTTTCATGCTTAATGCAACAAACATCCAGAAAGTGTCTACAATATACAATAGGCATTAAGATAAAATGATTAAACACTAGGATCCTGACAGAGCTTATATTTATTTAAACAAACAAACCCAGTGAACCTTTCTTTCATTTGTTCTCCCTAGAAGTTCATAGTCTATAAGGGGAAACAGATAAGCTAATCAGCAATGACAGTGAATATAGTGATAAAGGTATGCATTAGGTGCTATGTATTGAGCCTTGAGGGAGGGCTAGGCATGAAGGAAATAAGGTTAGCTAACCCTATCATTTCCAGACTGTTACTTTTTCAGCGTTTCTGGAAGTCCATCCACTTTGGGGCTCAGCTAATCATACTAAAATCTCTTGGGCCGGGCGCGGTGGCTCACGCCTGTAATCCCAGCACTTTGGGAGGCCGAGGCGGGTGGATCATGAGGTCAAGAGATCGAGACCATCCTGGTCAACACGGTGAAACCCCGTCTCTACTAAAAAATACAAAAAATTAGCTGGGCATGGTGGCGTGTGCCTGTAATCCCAGCTACTCAGGAGGCTGAGGCAGGAGAATTGCCTGAACCCAGGAGGCAGAGGTTGTGGTGAGCCGAGATCGCACCATTGCACTCCAGCCTGGGTAACAAAGTGAAACTCCATCTCAAAAAAAAAAAAAAAAAAAACACACACACAACTCTTGAGGCTTTCTTGTCTTCATCATCTACTATGCTCCCAGGTTACTTAGTCTTCTTTTATTCAAGGGTTAAGATTAGCTCCAATTCTTCTAGATAAAATCTCATCCAGACTGGACACATCTAAACCTAGGGAAGTGCAAAATCTAGAATGACCATTGAAAAACAAAGTTCTTCAATTCTGAACTTATTTATGGCAGTGATTTTCCCTCTCCTACCACTTCTGCTATCTCCACAGAGCAATATGAGCAATACATGAGATCTTAATCACATTTAACATGGCTGCGTCTCAGAAATGTTGAAGTCCAACATCCCACTTTCCGGCTATACCTTTCTGTCTCTTTAACCAGTGGTTTAATGAAGTTGATACAGATAGGGACAGATCCATGATGCATTTTATCTGAAGCTATACAATTTGGAGGGCCTTCTTTAAAAAATACAAAACTAAAAATGGGAAAGTAGTTGTAAAAATGAATTAACTATCAT